TTCAGAAGAAATGGCAAGAATGTTGAGTATTCAAGCAAACCAGGGGCACCACTGGCGCCCCACAAAGATGTCTGGATACAGTGAGCGACAACCGCGAGAAGTCGGAGAAGATGCTGAAGATGCGTGGTGACTGGTGTTTGATATCGCTTCGTTTGTTCAACAAATCAATGCGTGTGCGTTTATTGCGCTTTGGCGTGTTGATGTATTTTTGTGTGTAGCTTGTGTTTGGTGTGGTGTTAAGTACAAGGATTGTATTTAGGTAGAGCGCTTGTGGTGCTGTCCTGGGGATGTAGCTCAAATAGTAGAGCGCTCGCTTAGCATGCGAGAGGTACAGGGATCGATACCCTGCTTCTCCATTGATCATGTTACTGTGATAAAATCAGTTGGCATCAGCACTTTCCCAAATGTGCACTTCGTAGTTTGTCTGCGACATCGGCTGACCTTGAGTAACATTTTCTTTTAATTGCTTTTTGCTTCTTGCCTGCCGTCCTGTCTATCGTCCATCTGATTGTCTCCCGTTGATATCACTGACGGTTCCACGACACGCTTGTATTGGCGTTCCGTTGTTTGTCTATCGATTAATCCGTTGACACGCTCCTTGATTCTGCCATAACATCGTGACACTTCCGTCCAGCTACTAGCTGCCTGAATACCACAAATAAGTTTTGCTTGTCGCTGACAGTTTATTGCTTCTGGGGTTAGTGCTGAGCTGTATCAGACTGACATCATTGATAGCAGCAAATACCAGCAAACACCAGCGCAAGCGTTCTGCCGAACCAGGCGTCGACGATCAACGACACTATCTTTCAGAAAGTAAATGGCAAGAATGTTGAGCATTCAAGCAAACCAGGGGCACCACTGGCGCCCCACAAAGATGTCTGGATACAGTGAGCGACAACCGCGAGGAGTCGGAGAAGATGCTGAAGATGCGTGGTGACTGGTGTTTGATATCGCTTCGTTTGTTCAACGAATCAATGCGTGTGCGTTTATTGCGCTTTGGCGTGTTGATGTGTTTTTGTGTGCAGCTTGTGTATGGTGTGGTGTTGAGTACAAGGATTGTATTTAGGTAGAGCGCTTGTGGTGCTGTCCTGGGGATGTAGCTCAAATGGTAGAGCGCTCGCTTAGCATGCGAGAGGTACAGGGATCGATACCCTGCTTCTCCATTGATCATGTTACTGTGATAAAATCAGTTGGCATCAGCACTTTCCCAAATGTGCACTTCGTAGTTTGTCTGCGACATCGGCTGACCTTGAGTAACATTTTCTTTTAATTGCTTTTTGCTTCTTGCCTGCCGTCCTGTCTATCGTCCATCTGATTGTCTCCCGTTGATATCACTGACGGTTCCACGACACGCTTGTATTGGCGTTCCGCTGTTTGTCTATCGATTAATCCTTTGACACGCTCCTTGATTCTGCCATGACATCGTGACACTTCCGTCCAGCTACTAGCTGCCTGAATACCACCAATAAGTTATGCTTGTCGCTGACAGTTTATTGCTTCTGGGGTTAGTGCTGAGCTGTATCAGACTGACAGCATTGATAGCAGCAAATACCAGCAAACACCAGCGCAAGCGTTCTGCCGAACCAGGCGTCGACGATCAACGACACTATCTTTCAGAAAGTACATGGCAAGAATGTTGAGCATTCAAGCAAACCAGGGGCACCACTGGCGCCCCACAAAGATGTCTGGTAACAGTGAGCGACAACCGCGAGGAGTCGGAGAAGATGCTGAAGATGCGTGGTGACTGGTGTTTGATATCGCTTCGTTTGTTCAACGAATCAATGCGTGTGCGTTTATTGCGCTTTGGCGTGTTGATGTTTTTTTGTGTGTAGCTTGTGTTTGGTGTGGTGCTGAGTACAAGGATTGTATTTAGGTAGAGCGCTTGTGGTGCTGTCCTGGGGATGTAGCTCAAATGGTAGAGCGCTCGCTTAGCATGCGAGAGGTACAGGGATCGATACCCTGCTTCTCCATTGATTACGATGTTACCGGACTACATGCATTTCGTGCAACCATGTAAAACCTACATACATTAGAAATGTGTAAATAATTCAAAATCGGGTAAATACCGCCAAACATAGTTCTCCGAAACCAGTGGCTGAAATCACTAACAGATTTTGACAGCCGATGCGCAGAGCCTCACTAACAAACGCGCCCCGCCTTCAAGGGCGTGAGATGTGGCCTGTGAAAGAGGCGTCTTCTCGACGAGCTTGGCATCCGAAAATAAGTGCCATTGCTCTACGCTGTATCGATGGACGAAAAGAAGACAAGACATCGAAGCCGCTGCAGCCGGGAGCACTACTATTCTTCAAGGGCGTCGTGGGTCTAAAGTTGCTTTTCCAGAGCTAGAAAAAAAGTAAGATCATTCGAGTTTTATATATTATATTTTCTAACAAAATGCTGCTTTCTAGGCTTTTGGACTGGGTTCGTGACATGCGCAAGAACAAGGTGCGCGCTGTCACGTCGAGGTGCCTGCTCATGATGAGCGCACATTTAGAGCCACGCTTTCTTCTCGGTCGCTCGGAACAAGCTGCTGTTGAGTACCTCCGCCGTTTCCGCAGCAGAAATGGCTTGAGCGTGCGTCGTATCACGCACAAGGGTCGACGCAAGCGGAGCGAAGTGCAGGTATGTGCTAATTTTTTTTTTTTAATTTGTTGCTAAAATACTAATTTTACTATTGAGGTCGTTGCTGACGAGTTCGGCCTCGCAATGCGCCATAAGATGGAAATGTTTAGCACAGGAACTGAGAAGTATAATCACTTCTACAATATGGATCAAACCTCCATATATATCGACATGAATCCTAAAACAACTATCACGTTTCGTGGGGAACATGACGTTGATGTTGTGCAAGGTAATCATTTTGTTATTGTCTTATAATATAAGACTTATATACTATTGATTCTAACTGTGATCTAGGAATGTCTGAAAACTCTTTTCGTGCCAGTGTTTTTCTGTGCGCATCGGCCACTGGATAGAAGCTGCCAGCGTTTATTGTGTTCTCTGGTGCCACAGGAGGCCCTGTTCACTGCGAGCTGCAAGCTCATCCGCTGCATAAAGCAGATGAGGTTGTGCTTGCTGTGCAAAAGAATGCGTATTGTGATGAGCGCATTATGATCGAATGGGTCAACGAGGTATGCTTTTATTTTTCTTTAAATTTTGTTGTTAATACTAATATTATGAGCAGGTGTGGACTCCGTCAGTCACCTTTTGCCGCATGCTCTTGCTAGACAGCCTAAAAGTTCACAAAATGGGCTCCGTTCGCGCCAAGCTTGAGGAAGCTATGACGGGTGTAGACTTTGTGCCAGCAGGAGCGACAGGACTTGCCCAGCCGATGGATGTGTCTGTCATGCGTGTTTTTAAACACTGGTGTAGAGAGCTATACGTTCAACACCACATTACAAACGACTTACGCTTGAACGCTAAGGAAAGACGCAAGTTAATCACGTCTATAGTGCACGAGGCGTGGAGGGCAGTTCCCCCCCCCCGCAACAATACAGCGGGGTTTTGTCAAGGCGGGCCTCGTTCCGATAGGACCACGAATGGTAGATGGCACGTTTCGTGTTGCCGAGCCACCAGCGCCGGAACTAGCATAGCATAGCTCACTCACTAAAAACTAAAAGTTTGGGGCTATTTTACATTTTTTTGTCAAGGATGGAAGTTCGTTGTAGAAGGGGTGTCACCATATAGATTTTGGTTGTGATGACTTTTTACGTTCGCGGTTGCATGAAATGAATTGGTTGCACGAAATGCATGGAGGCCGGTACTGTGATCAAATAAGTTGGCATCAGCACTTTCCCAAATGTGCACTTCGTAGTTTGTCTGCGACATCGGCTGACCTTGAGTAACATTTTCTTTTAATTGCTTTTTGCTTCTTGCCTGCCGTCCTGTCTATCGTCCATCTGATTGTCTCCCGTTGATATCACTGACGGTTCCACGACACGCTTGTATTGGCGTTCCGTTGTTTGTCTATCGATTAATCCTTTGACACGCTCCTTGATTCTGCCATAACATCGTGACTTGCGTCCAGCTACTAGCTGCCTGAATACCACAAATAAGTTTTGCTTGTCGCTGACAGTTTATTGCTTCTGGGGTTAGTGCTGAGCTGTATCAGACTGACATCATTGATAGCAGCAAATACCAGCCAACACCAGCGCAAGCGTTCTGCCGAACCAGGCGTCGACGATCAGCGACACTATCTTTCAGAAAGAAAATGGCAAGAATGTTGAGTATTCAAGCAAACCAGGGGCACCACTGGCGCCCCACAAAGATGTCTGGATACAGTGAGCGACAACCGCGAGGAGTCGGAGAAGATGCTGAAGATGCGTGGTGACTGGTGTTTGATATCGCTTCGTTTGTTCAACGAATCAATGCGTGTGCGTTTATTGCGCTTTGGCGTGTTGATGTGTTTTTGTGTGCAGCTTGTGTTTGGTGTGGTGTTGAGTACAAGGATTGTATTTAGGTAGAGCGCTTGTGGTGCTGTCCTGGGGATGTAGCTCAAATGGTAGAGCGCTCGCTTAGCATGCGAGAGATACGGGGATCAATACCCTGCTTCTCCATTGATCATGTTACTGTGATAAAATCAGTTGGCATCAGCACTTTCCCAAATGTGCACTTCGTAGTTTGTCTGCGACATCGGCTGACC